GGCTGTTTCTCTCACGCCCCTTGAGTAGCGCCACGTCGCTAATAGAAGGTGCGTCGGGAGATATAGGCTTCGGCCCCAAAATCCGGGTACATTGCTAACAAAACAATACTAAAAGAGTTCTTGTAATTGAAAAATTCTGAGCCAGGTTAAGAACATAAGAACATGCTTCCCATCCATAGCACTTACACAATTGGGAAAATTCCATCTTGCTTCAAACCCTCTTATTATTTCATTCCACTCTTCGGAAGATCTGGGAATCTAAAAATAAAAATTTAATTTTTTTAGGACATTGACGGTGATACACAAGTTTCAGAGGAATCACATTCAGAAAATAATATAACGGAACATTTTGTAGAAAAGGTATCCGGAAATATGTCTGTTCCAAAAGATCCTAAAATATCAAAAAAGAGGAAGTATGCTGCTTACGACAGTATTGAATTAGCACTGAACAAATTAGAAAATATTGCTGAAAAAGCCTAAGTCATAGAAGACGAAATGGATAAGTTCAAAAGTTATGTAGCTGCGAGTTTGCGTAAACTTAAAACTATAAGCAGCATTAAAGCCCAAGGGGAGATACAGAATATTCTGTCGAAATATAGACTACAAGACATAACTACAGAAGCATCACCATCTACACCAATGTCAGAATCAAGTGATGATGACACATGGAATGATATATCAAGTATTTCTGATTATATAAAACTTATTTAAAATTTTTATAGGTACTACTATAATATAATAATTAAATGTTATAAAACTAATAATAATACATGTATAATACAAAAATCTAAAATATTTTATTTATTTTTACCTTAATATATCCTTCTAAAGCGACATATATAGCTTGAAGAACATCAACTAAAAAGACACTTATAGTACTATAGGACTCAGAAAAATTGCGACAATGTTTAAAAACTGTCTCCTGTAGCCAAATATTTTAGTGTTATTTCTAATTTCGAGCGAGATGAAATTGGCTGACGCATAACTGTATGTTGCTTTTGTATTCGAGAGCTGATTCTCTCTAATAAATATTCAAATTGGTGCTTTGACATACGAAACATATTTCTATAATATTTTTCGTCTTCGATTTGTAAACAAAAAATTAAAATTAAAAATTAAATTAAATTTTGTGTAAAAAGTTAATACTCATAATTAATATATAAATAATAGGTAAATTTTAATACAATAAATTATTTATTTGTGGGCAAATCAAAATTATATAATACTCAAAAGCAAAGTATTATTGTATTTTTACACATATTATTTTTATTAATATTTATTTACACAAAGTTAAATTTTCTCAATTCAAAGTTTTATGCCATTGGCTTTTCTTTACACCAACTTAATTTGAATAAACAATCATTTTTATATAAATACGTGTGATTTCATTTATTTATGTAAATAATTATAAATGTAATTGTGTTAAAATTTACCTTCGATTTGTAATTCTTTGCAAAGCGTTTGTGAAGCACCAAGTGTGTCACTCCTTTGTACCCATTTCTTCACCCAAATTCTCCTTTTTTTTTCTTTTTTCTTTTTCAATTTTTCTCAATTCATGCCGTAAAATATCAGCCACAACAAGAACACCTTCCCGTACGAAGTTCATTTTTACACTATGCCCAAAATCTCGAAGGTTCAATTTCCTCGGCGGCAACAGTTTCTCGATAGCTAGGTACGAGAAACTCTTCCCGTCTAAATCCGCCTTTAGGGAAGGGCGCCCTGAAAAAACCTTCGATCACCAATACCCGGTGGGTATCATAGATAAGTGTACTTGGTATGTATCAACGTTTTTCGAAGCACTATCAATTTTTGAATCATATCTATTTTTACCGCGTCGTTGACATTGATTATGGTCGGAAGAATAACAACAACGTCAACGAAGACGAACGACCGTTTATTATTTTGATTTTTGATTGCTGGACGCTGGTGTATTTTTCTAATAATATTTCCACTCGTCACGAGGTAAGTAAAAATAAATTTATTTATTTATACATACATATTAAATATAATTTAATTTTTATACTATATTTATACTTTACTTAAAATAGTCTGTCATCTTAGTTTGGACTTTTTTATTTTGCCAATACTGTTTTTGTATTTTTCTATGAATTTCTCCCATGTTTTGGGATAACTTTGGATCATCTTTATGAAACAATAATTACTTTTCTAATGATTTAGCCACATCAAGTGCTTGTTCAATACTTGGTATTACGACTTTGTCAGGTTGTGCTTCCTCTTCATCTTCATTTTGCTCCTCCTCGCCTTTTGCCACTGCATTTAGGATTTCTTCATCAGTTAACTATATTTTTGTAACTAAGTTCTCGTCTATTTCTACGCAGTTTTGTAGATCCTCAGGAGTAAAACTATGTGGAGTATTGAACTAAATAATCCACTCACTCAGTGTATCATCTTCTTTCTCAAATTGTTCTATTTCTTCTTCAGCATTGGCAAAACTCGGAAGTCCAGCATGACGAAGAGAATGCCGTATAGTTTCTGCTGTTACCTCTTCCCAGGCCTTACTTAAGAAGTTCAACGCATCAAGCATATTGATAGAGGCATTTCCATCAGATTCGATAATTTCCATTAATATTTTCTTTCTATAGTGGTCTTTCAAACTTTTATAACACTTTGGTCCATCGGCAGTAAAATACTAGTTGTGTTAGCTGGGAAAAATATCATTTCTATGTTCATAAGATTAGATAGATTGGGATGAACAGGACAATTATCCACGAGTAACAAAACTTTTCGCCCCTTTAATTCTGCATCCCATTTTCTTATTTCTTCTTCAAAAAGTATTGATGTCATCCACGCTGACTTATTTGCTTATAAGTGTCTGGCAACTGTTTAATACTTTTAAAACATCGCGGGTTTCTTGATTTGCCTGTTGCCATAATCTTTCTTTTGTGCCACTCATATTGGCTGCTACAAACGCAGTGATACGTTCTTTAAAAAGCTTACCTCCCACGCACTTTTCCCCTTTAAATTTTAATGTTTTATCTGGGGTTATTTTGTAAAAAATACCTGTCTCATCAGCATTAAAAATATTATCCGGAGTGTACTTTTCATTCAATTTTGGCCACACATTAATTAACCAGCTGTTAATAACATTCAAGTCGACATTTAGTGCTTCTCCGCTTATTTTCCCAGAGGTGATGTTGTTTAAATTTTCCAAGCCATCCTTCCGAGGCCTTGAACTCTATAATACCAAGTTGTCGAGCAAAATGTTCAGCTTTAGTTTTCAAAACAGGCCCAGATATAGATAAATTATTACAACGTTGTTTATGGTATCACGATAACATGGCCTGGCCCAAGTTTTCAAATTTCGGTTTTCTTATTTTTTTACAAGAACTTCCTTCTGTTCAGCCTGCAATATTTTATCCTTATTCTTCCTGGTAGTAGCGACAGTAGATGGGCTGAATCAAAAACGTTTCCCAACATCACTATTTTTTTCACCTTTTTCAATCGCACATATTAAAGTAACTTTTTGATCAACACACAGTGCTTTTCTTTTACTTGCTATAACGAATGTTAGCGCACTACTGTGGTCATGCGTATAATGTTGGATATTACGTCGATAATAAAATGAACGTACATATTCAATATCAATAATAACGATATTAAAAGTAGATAATAAAAGAATTTAATCATTCTTGGAAATTTCGGCATTTATTACCGATTATTTTTATTGTTTATATATGTAATAGATACGATAACACGTAAATTGTATTATGAAACATAAAATATTGTTTCGTTATTGAGAGTGACTAATACGTTATAGAGAATGAATTGACTAATGGGTTATATAGCAAACCAACCATTATTATGTAATGTTTATGTTATATAGAGTTTTTCGTTGTAAAGAGTTTCATTATAAAGAATTTTCACTGTATATGATTTTTTATTTTTTTATTATAATATTAGATATTTAAAACATACAAATGTATTTTGTATTAATTAAATTGTATTTATATATACTAGGTAAATACCTAATATTATTATATTTCATGGACAATTATAAGTTGAAAGTTCTAACTATTTATAAACTCTTCAGTTACTACATTATTACAAAAGTTATTTTTTATACAATTATATATAATAGATATATATTTAATTAAGGTAGAATAGTTATAGAATAGTTTCACAGTAATATATGAACAATATTTAAAATATAATTATAACTATTACATTTATTAGGTAGGTATTATGTACGGGGATATTATGTATATTATATTTTCTTTATTCTTTTTTTTCAAAGAGGTAACTCAAAAGTAATAATTGTGCATTTGATACTTATTATTAAAATATATAAAGGGATAAACATAAACCCCGAATTAATAAATTTAGGATTTAAAATTGTATTTGTGAACGTGAATATAATTTCATATTAATGTGCATACATATTAAATTTATTATATACCTACATATCACCCATAATTTATAACCATTGAAAAAATGTTTTTAGTCTTAGAAGTTAAATTAAATTTTTATGCATACAAAACACTATTAACTATGTTTATAGGTTTAAACTACATTTTATATGCCTTTTACTTTGGTCTAATCACTAATTTACCTATTTAATATTATTGTATATAGCCATTGACGAATACATAACCCAGTGTAATAATGAATTGTGGGAAGATATCAGCCTTAACATCATTGATCAACAAACAAATATTTCAGAAAATGAAAACCTGAGTAGTGATATTTTGAGTGTTGTATCAGATCCTCCTGATGATGAAAGTAATGAATACATCATATGGTTATATTATAATAATTTATATAGTTTATTCTGTTTAATGCAAGTTATATATGAAGGGTACAGAGGAAAAACGGTAGTAGTCCATTTTTTTCGATTTTGATTTTATGGTTTGATTCGATAGCAAATATCGACAGTTGAAATCGATTCAGTGAAAAGATCGTTTAATCCATAGTTATTAAATGAAAAAGATTAGGTATACTGGTGAAGAAAAATTTTAGTCCATGCGGTTGTGGAGAAAAGATTAGGTATATTCTGCCAAAACAGCTCCAGTTGTATGAGGAGATTCTTTTAAAGCTATTAATGTCTCCATCACTTTACCATCTGTCTCATCGACATATCTTAATATGAATGATACTTGTTCCTTATGCGAAACATCAAATGTTGAATCAATAAAAATACTAAATATTGGAGACGCTTTTATATCAGTTACTATTTTTTCTGCTATGTTTTTAGAAACTGACTCAATTAAGAGATTTTGACGATCCCATGAGATAAATGAATCTTCTTTACGACCTTTAGTTTTGAGGCTAGTAACATGAGATAATAAAATAAGAGAGTGTTCAGATAGTAATAAAACTAAATCTTTAAAGTTTCCTCTTAGATGATCTTTCCAATGTTCTCTATGGCCTCGGAACAAAAGAATGTTGTCCTAAGAAAACTGTTATACTTATAAGTTGCTTAAAAATCTCTCTGTTTAACGCAACATTTGATTTTCTATGTTGGTCAAATGATGGCAATAAAGGTAAAACGGATTCTCTGATTTTTAACTTCATTGATGCAATAACATGAGGAATAGATGTTTCATGCGATATAATACTTATACATCCATTTTTCCAGTGAGAAAATCCATCCCTCACCCACGCCTTGTTAGTTTTCCTTCTAAACAAATTATTTATTTATTTATTTATTTATTTTGTACAGAACGGGTTGGAGCCCAGTTTGATTAAACATACAAATATGATAGTAGTACATAATAATAGAACATGTTTAATAATACATAGTAGGCAAGTTTGCGTAATAAATCAATAACATAATTTTTTTTAATAGATACATAATTCACAGAAAGTTATAAAAAATACAATAAGTGTGATGGGTCCTTATTAGCAATATCCATCATTCTAATAATTGGTTGATTACTCGCATAGTTAGTGGTACACCTAGGCACAAAAAAAGGGTATGTTTGGCGGGCATTAAATGAGGGAATTTTAAAGTTGATCAGTGAAAGAATCTCTGGAGCATCAATTAAGCCATCTAATAATTTTGATAAAAATCTCAAATTGGCCAATGTTCTCCTGTCAGCTAAAGAACTCAGGCCAAGCTTAGTCGATACAGGACCATACTCATGAGGAGGATGATTAATTTTTAGGATAAAACCAGCGTAGTTTAAAAATTTCCTCTGAACTCTTTCAAGTGTATTTTATTACTCACCGTGTGTGGATCCCATATGACAGCGCCATACTCTAACACTGACCTAACATATGCACAGTACAATAATTTTAAAGGAGTCATTAACTTGAATTCACTACATATACGTCTAAGAAACCCAAGAATTTTTAGAGCTTTACAGCAGGAATTTTCTATGTGCGAATGAAAATTTAACTCACGATCAAATACAATTCCTAAATCTGTGACAGTATTATCTGAATGTATCAGAGGAAAATCGTTCATAAAGTAGGTGAATGTGATAGGAGTGCGTGTCCTATAGAATGACATCGAGTGACATTTGACGACATTAAACTCAAGGCCCATGTTAGTAGCCCAGTTAACTACTGCATTAAGATCTTCTTGTAGAAGCAGACAATCGTTAATCGAATCTATCTTTAAAAATAGTTTCAGATCGTCGGCAAACAGAAGAAATTTGCTGTTATGAATAACGTGTTTTATATTATTAATGAATAACGCAAATAGCATAGGTGACAAATGACCTCCCTGAGGTACACCTGATGGTACATTAGTTATATCAGATTTTATCCCAAATACCTTGACAAATTGCTTTCGGTTACTAAGATATGAGTTGAACCAAGACAATAAAGGCTCACCAAATCCTGAGTTCTCGAGTACTTTCCCCAAAATTGAATGGTCAACCCTATCGAACGCTTTAGCAAAATCAGTGTAAACTACATCGACTTGAGAATTCATATTTAAGGCACTGAATATATAATTAGAAAATACAAGATTGCAGGTAACTGCGGAACGGCCAGGGCGAAAACCATGCTGTTCGTCGATTAAAGTTGCATTAGTAGCTCTTTGAATACTATTAAACACTAATGACTCAAATAATTTTCCTATATGACTTAAAATTGCAATTGGTCTATAATTAACAACGTCAGATGTATCGCCATTTTTAAAGATAGGTATTACAGCGTTTAGTTTAAGATATTCTGGAAAAACTCCGGAGTCGAGCGATTTGCGAAATAACAGCCATAATGGATAACAAAGGACCGATTTTAGAGTAAACAAGAAATCACCAAACAAGCCATCAGGTCCTACTGATTTAACACCACGTAATTTAGCTAAACCAGCTTCAACATTGTTGACATTAAAATTACAATTGCTAGGAAGATCAAAAGGTAAGTGAGGAGATGTATAAGAATTGTTGGTAACGTTAGGAAGAGTATACACAGAATCAAAAAGCTTCGAAAATAGATCGGCTACATCCTTATCGTTATTACTAAAGACACGATTTAGGCTAACAGATTTAGGAAGATTATGACTGGATTTATTTTTCCTAACAAAATTCCAAAATTCTTTCGGATCGGAACAAATATTATTTTCTGCATATTTAATGTACTGTTTATAGCAAATTCTAGATAAGAATTTATACTTTGAACGAAGAAGAGAAAATTTATCGTAGTCGTCAGGTTTTTTTGTTGCCTTGAAGGAAGCATGAGCTTTTCTTTTTTGAAAGACTAAGTCAATTAAATCTTTTGAGAACCATGACGGGAAGTTAGAAGTATTGAAATTGACTATAGGTACATAGTTAAGAAGAGAATAGTGTATGGCATCATAAAAGGTGTACACGGCGGAGTTTACGTCTAGGAATGAAAAAGTGGTTTTCCAGTTAAAAGAAAGTAAAAATTGAGATATATGAAAATAATCAGCCTTAATGAAGTTATGATAAGAGTGAGAAGAATTGAAGACTGGCAACTTAATAATAGCATGGTAATCTATACATAACGCTGGATGGTAAGGATCCTCGGGAACTACCGGATCACAGACTGGCTGGCACTAACAAATACAAGGTCTAACATGGAACCATGAGAATTGGTTAAATGATTAACTTGAAAGAAGTTAAGAGCTGCAAAAGTTTCTGGGACGCAATCAATTTTATTACCAAGTGTAGATGAATATACGAGGCCATTAACATCATTTGACCAAGAAATTCCAGGAAGGTTAAAGTCACCACAAATAATAAACGTATAGTTGGAATAGTTGATCGCAATTCGTTCAATAGTAGACATATATGATTCAAATAGTGAGACAGAACAATTAGGAGGTAAATAAACACCACCAATTATAAACTTAGAATCGTTAAATTCACATATTACAAATAAGTGTTCAACGTTTACGTCAATAAACGGAATTAACTGGGATTTAATATCTTTTCTTATACTAATAAGGACGCCACCACCTCTCTTATAGATACTAGATGAACAACTCCTATCGCATCTATAGATGTTATAATTAAATAGGCCCAGTTCATTATCCAAAATAGCGTCATGTAGCCAAGTTTCAGTAAGTACCATAAATAGATATTCAGAACTAGCTACATTACATCTAAACTGAGTAAGTTAAGTTCTGAGCCCACGGCAATTTTGGTAAAAACCGAATGAAGTATGTAAGGTAGATTGAAAAGATTTAGCAACATCTATACAAGAGATAGGATTAATATTATTATTAGTATGAACAGAAGCAGAAACATTTTTGAGTTTGTTATCAAAATCGGAAAAAATATTATTTACAGCAATTTTACGGTTACTATAGTCGACACAAACTGGATCTAGTTTTTTGCCGGTGGAAGGACGATGGTCTTTTCAGGCAGCAGCCGACCCCAAAATCGTTTGATCATAATCCCTTCAGGCCAGAAATCGGGTTGGAGCACATTAGGTAGCACGGCAGCTGGAAGTCGGATATGAAAGTAAGCGTAAGATGGGTGTTTAGTAACCATCTGAGTAATGGTCACATCAATATCACTGAACAGTTCGTTCTTTAGCTGATCAATGGTAACCTGCGGACAGAACCTGGAGACAAATACATCAGCAGACCTAGCTACAGGCATGGAAGGCAGATTAGCAAAAGCTTTTTTGCTTGTGCCAACAGCAATTTTAGATGATGTGAGTGGGCTAGTGCGGTTAGCGGGCACTACAGGGCGATCTGAAGTTGGAACAGGTTGGACATCCACTAATGGGTTAGCGTTCAAAAATACCTTAGGACCAGGATATAGTTTACTAGTAGATGTAGATACAGATAGTTTATTTAGCTTGTCATGGAGTTTCAGATTACTGTTTGAGATGGTTTTAAGTTCATCGACAACGGACTTGAGAATTAGCGCAACACTAGCAGTATCAGTAGTAGGGGAGACTTCCGTCCTTGAGTTAGCTCCATACAGCAATGAGTATAAGTCATCACTCAGCTTCATAGATGGTGGGGAAGATTTTTTGAGAATAAACTCAATGAGCATGGGTTTTGTCCATTTATTAAGCTCGGATGACAACTGTTCAAAGTCGCACATAATAGCGATCACGAAGATACTTAAGCCTTGAAATTGATAAAACGGCAATCAAGTTGCGCGGTAATTGGACTTACTCCTTACGTTTGGAGAGATACAACTAAACTTACGTTAGTGCTTAGCCCCGGTAGGCAGGTGGCCTTGGCACGTGCCGTATTTGAAAAGAGATAACGCGGTTCGTGGGGAGTTGGTTATCGCAGTGAGCCGTAGATAAGATATATATAGAGTTTATACCTGTCTACGTCGTATACTCGTATAACAAAAACAATCCTTAAGGGCGGAAATATTAGACGGACTGACTCAACATCGACACCAGTCTGTACACGAACTTTTTATATAATTAATGGCTTTTAAAACGTAAAAAACGGATAGGTATTGCACTAGAAAAAGCGAAGATAATAGAGAGCACAACGTACACATTAGACGCACAAACACTTAACTGTTATATTTATATATTTATAATTATATTTATATTATGTGAATCGTTACCAAAATTATGAATAAGCCCGATCACAATTTAAATTATACAAATACTTTAAAAAAAAAAAAATTCAAATGACACTCCCAATTATCGTAATGACACCATCCCTAACATCAATGATTTAACAAAACATTATTCTCTTTTCATAACAGATCTCAAATCAGTTATCAAACCCTTAATAACACTACTAACTACAGTTATTAAAAAAATCATCCTCAAAGATGACTAACAACTGATCATGTGCATCTTCCCAAATGAAAATCTTATTATAGAATACAAAAGGTCTTCTTAAACATAAAAACGAACTTCAAACCGTTTTAAATGATTAAAACTAGATATAATAACTGAAACCCATTTCACTGAAAAATCTACTTTCAGTATCTTTAACTACAATCTTAATAAAACGAGTCATCCTGACGGCACAGTACTTGCAAGTACTTAAATTATAGTATCCAACTCTATCCAAAATAATATATTAAAGCTTTCTAAAACATTTCCATTCATGTTTTTAAACGTTATATTTTTTCTTGGGTTACATTTTATTAAAATTATTATTAATGAACACACGTTGCGACGAAAATAGATAAAATAGATAAATTGGTATTAACACATCAGTAAGAGTAAATTGGTAAGCAATAACATTGTTTCCGTGGTACTGATTTTATCTTATGAAACTTAATGTCATAAAAAATTTAAATATTGATATAATACTAAGATTTTATT